CACGTCAGCAGCGTACACCCATGGGCAAATGGGGGACGCTAAATTGGCCAATCAGAGCGCGCGCTTTACCTTGGTTATGTTATAAAAGTATATTGAGAAGTCATGGAATGCAAAAAAGAAAAATTAGACGAAGAGCGTAAACGGTTTTCCGGAGAAACACATGATTTCAAAGCTTATCGAAAAACAAAAATGCAACAACTGAACTAAATTGCCTTTTCTAACATTTAAACAGTTCGATAGTTGTTAAGCAATCAACGAAATTCTTTACAACAGTTGAAGATTAACTGGGGTTATTACAGAGATCGATGATGGTTTCTCTCTTCTACCTGAATATGCAATTAGAGTTCTCTACAACTTGCAGAAAGAAGTGAAGACTTCAGCTTTATGAACATAGACTGAAACCCATTCAGTTTATTCAGTTGCACAGACTGTTTTCAAATCTTTTTGTTTTCGTTCTGAACTAGCGCTTCTTTCCTTGTATTTTCAATAGCTTTCAGCAATTCGAAGAAAAAGGGGTCAGGGTTTGTCGTAAAAGCCTTTTCACAGAGATCAACAAAAATACATTTGAGTGAATCTAACAGTTTCACTGGCGGAAAACGAAACTTTTCCTTCATTGGTCTTCAGTGGCAAATGAAAAGTTAAAATTAGTCTATGACAGGTTGACGATATTTTTATTAGGTGATATACTTTTAAAAGAAATCATTCAAGTCAATTATGTAAACATAAAAAGCAAACTTACAAAAAAGCTCGAATTTCAATTGATATCTTAGCAATGGGTCAAGAATGTTTAGACACCTGAAAATCTGGTCATGGTTAAAAGAGAGCTAATTGAAATAAATTCCTGTTAAATAAAATCGTTATTACGTGCAAATTCTTACAGAAATCCTCATATTCATATGAAGTAACGGAGCAGTCGTGCAACGGACAATCTGTTCCTAACATGGCGCATTTCACACTGACCAACGCCTTAAGCGCTCATCCAATCGTAACCGTTAGGACAAAATGACCTGTTAGGATACACTGACCAACGTATTAAGCGCTCATCCAATCTTACTGTTAGGACAAAATGGCGTTTTTTTTTATCGCGTTTGACTCCTTTACTTTGGAACCTGTATTGAGGGGTCACCCCGCTATTCCCGGTGGGTGACCGCAAATTGCAGTTTCGACTGTACCCTAAAATACAACATTTCATTCTTATAAACAAACATTGTTGTTTCCGCTTGACAAGCGTAAGTCACATACATAACATGTTTATTCATCTTTGTGCGAAACTCGATGCTTTGTGAAAGAAAATCTATGTGGCCGAAGTTCACGCGTCACCTATTCTTGTTTCACTCAGTGTTTGCTGTGTTTCATTGAAAGTTTACTTTGGGATGCAAGCCTGAAAATCTAGACTGACAACCAGTACAAAACATTCGGTGCACAAGGCGATCATAAAATTACCTACTAAGGAACTAAAAGTTCCTTTCGTACCCAGTTCCTACTTGTGTTAACCCCATGCCGGTACAGGGTCTAAGTTCGAAACTGACCGGTACCCAAACACTTCAGTTCCTAAATATTTAATCTTCAAACATTTCTGCGCTGGTTTCCTTGCCGCTAGCAAAGCTAGATACTTGGGCTAGTGATTAACTATTTTAATAACATAGAGGGCAAAATTACTGAAAGCTGTTTGGTCAATGAAGAGGGTATTTTTTTTTTCTTAATTTTGCTTGTGAAGAGGGCAAAATTACTTGCTGACGATTGATCTCCATGTTGCCTAGCAACAGCTTATGCTATCGAGCAGTTGTTATCAAAAAATTCTCTGTAACAATGGCATCACGTTTCGAGTTAGTTGACGAGGAATATATCGAATAATTAAATGAGGGCATACAGAAATTCAGTATTTTCCCCCTATTTCATTAACAAGTAATCGCGATGGGTCCTCGTAAAATTAAGGATTAATACTTGTGTTTTCAGAAGTTGCAGAATTGCCCGTGATATTAAACCTTAACTTTACTCGGCCCCATGCGATTACCGTATACTACCAGAGGTTTTCTGAAAGGCGATTCTCCTCGGACAGTAGCTCACTAGTCAATTGGCGTTACCTCTTATTTCTAATAAGGGCACGCGTTGTGTTTACAGTGGAAGCATGGCTTCCACTCCCTCCCTCCCCCACCAGAGAACGAGGTTGAAGAAACGAAGCTTGGTGAATCAACTTTAGAGACAACTGAGCAATTTTGGAACACGGAAAACCGCCCTCTTCCCATCTGAAGTAGGCACAAGTGCTAATGAGAATTACGGAAGTAATTGAACCTAACTTCGGCAATAAGATGGAGGGGAAAGTTTCTAAAGAAACTGTTGTGCTGCGTTGGCGAGGAACTTACAACGGATAATTTGGTTTTATCAAATTAGTTGGGAAGAGTTTTTAAAGCTGAAGTTTCGAGCTTTAGCCCTTCGTCAGAACGAAACTTTTGCCTAACGCTCGTACTCCATCAGGTTTAAAAACTCTTTCCGGTGGCCAAATTACATTATCGACTCATTTGATTAAAACAAATTATCTGGTAACTTCCAGGAGGGTTCAGCAGAGTTGGAAACCAAAACCAAACGTCAAAAAAACATTAACCTTTATACGGTCAATATCATAAACTCGCCACGTGATTATGATAAGAGCTTTTTATCTTATCGCACGATCCCTATCGAACCAAGAACGAAAGTCACATCCAGTTCATGAGCAAATATTGGAAACTTCTACAGTGTGATTTTACTATTACTGAAAATGGCAAGGATCCGTTAAGTTGACGCAACATGAAACTTATTAAGTGTGTAGCCATCGAAATATGTTTCGAAATTCAAACTAAATCTCTAGAACTGGCGGCCGGCATTTGTAATGATGGATAATCTGGTTTTGTCAGATGAGTTCGAAAATTAAATGCTTCATACGAATTTCGTGATATTTAAGTGACTGTCACAAGTTTGTAGTTTAGAAATTTAACAGCCGCATGTCAAAAAACGTCGAGACATATTCGTGTTCATATTCTAAATAACAGAGCTTTCCATCCACCGTCGAACTAAAATAATATACAACGAGCAGTCCTTCCTTTCGGCGAAGTCCGTCGCGCGAGTCAAAAAAAGTCAGTGATGCACCGCGGGAGCTCCTCAAGCGAGGCGCCCTACTTCTCGAGAGCTTCTCTTATATAAAAGCGCATTGACATCGCTCCAAGAGCTCCCCCACAGCGCGCTGACATCAAATGTTTTCTTTCACAGTTATTTTTTAATTGCCGCAAAGGAGGGAAATCTACCGAAGGAAAAAATTTATCGACAATTTTCCTCGTGCTATTCCTAAAATTAGCTTGCATTTTCAGTTTAGAAGCTGAGCTATGATTGGTCAAAAGAATTTATCTAGCCCTTCCGGAATAATTGACTAGAAAGTCTAAGTAAAAAAAGGAAACGAAACAAAAGTGAACTACTATCTAGTTGAGAATTGGCACGAACCGTGCTTTAGAAAAAATAATAAAGATCGAAACAGAAGATTCGGAAACCAAAAAAATATTGTTAATGTTACTATATTTCACAGCTTTGCCGTCTATTTTGGGGAGTAGTGAAACGGATAAATTCCAAGAATTGAAAGAGGAGAAAATGTTGCGAAACGTGCTTAGCTGTTAAGTTGAAACAGTACACGCCTTGCGAAACCAAACAAAAACAAAACAAAAAAATCTTTCACTTCCGAACCAAGCTTTTCACGACCCAGAGAAACTTGTGTCACGCATCTCGAAAGAAATGCCGCTAGTTGTCACGCTTCAATAAAAATAAGGACTGACGAAGCTAGAAATACTGTGTACATCAGGCTTAAAGCGTTCTAGATAACATAGAGCTGTCTTCGCCAATTCAAATCTCATTTAGTGGAGGAAAATTTGCCTAGCTTTCGTGAAGAAATCGGAAGCAGGAAATGAAAGTCGAAAGTCTTACTTCCAATCGATGACGCAGTGTCAAGCGTGAGCTAGATAAATAAGAGCGATTCGTCGCACCAGAATTACTCTTCGTTACTGCTCCCAAACTCAACTTCGTTACCGTTAAAGATCCACGGATTTACAACAGACCTCTGTGTTCTCAAGCTATGGAGACCAAAGGGAATGAAAAAAATGTAAGTTCAAATATTCAATTTAGATTTCAAATATTCTACGAAATCTTCGCTTCAACTTCCTTGAGCATAATCGAATACCACTGCGATCAGACTTGCGAAATGCTTCTGCTTGGTCGTCGAATATACTCAAATCGAGCACCTGAACCACTTGATCCGGGCGAAGATCTACTTTTTTCTTAAATTAGTGGCTTTTAAAACATTTTTCCCTCATGTAAATTTGAAAGGTTCGTTTAAGGCAATTGAGCTCCCGCAAAAATGAAAATGGGATTGAAAATGCGAAATAAGCCATTTGCAGTTGCCGTCAATCACCCTTGCTCCACGTACCTGATGTCATGACCTGATGGATAACGTTTATCTACCGTGTCTCTTACTAGGGAAGCAGAAGAGGACCGGGTAAGGGAGGGGAGGGGAGGAGTTGTAATGTACGAAAGACTAGCATACCATCCAGGGGAAGGAGTCGTATTCTTTGTCAGTTATGCCACAGAAACTGGGATAAGCTCCAGCCAGATGGGTCACTTAGCTTTTAAACTGACCCTTTGACTCCAAATCTCTCCCCCCTCTCACCTTAATACCCTTTGAAACTCTTACCAGCGACATCCCCCATCATCCCTTAGTCATTGTCCCTGCAATACCCTTGTGGAATGATAATGCGTGTAGTAAATGACATATTTACCCCATAACAGACAAATGTGAGAGTCATTGACACACATGACAGAGAATGGAGCACTGAAGATCATCAGCTTATCTCTCAAAACGAAACTGGACGGGCTACTGCAGGTCACTACTTGTGGGTTAATGGCACGACTGTTTCATCCAATGCACTTTGTACAAACCAAAAAAGTAAGTATGATCTTAATATTTTTACAATCAAAACTACTGAAATAGTGGTAGCTAGTGGGATCTTCTTAAGGAAACAGAAGGCTCAGCTCACAGGGAACAAAATCATCAACACCTTAGAATAGCATCACAAACATAAACCTTTTAACTCCTAAGAGTGACAAGCATCTGATTTCTCCGCACAATATCATTCCTAAATCACACATTAAGGTCACAAGTAAATGAAAGAAACACTGCACGGGTCCAAAGGGACAATTAAGTAGAAAAGAAAGTTCCTTGCCCCGTAAATATACCTGATCGGTGATAGTATGTTTTACCAAAACAAATGTCTTATCTATATTCTTCAACAGCTTTTTTTAAGATCCATGCTACCATAGAGCAAGATGCAAATGGTAAAGCTCATCAAGTTGTCATTCTAGAAAATAAAAGTGGAAGTGTTGTGGCAATAAACAAGGACGATGACACTGTCCTTGCTAAGGTATGATGGGAGAAAATTGCCTGTCAATTCTCTCATGTCAGGGCTAAAATGAAAGGGAATTTTCTACATAAGAGGGTGGAGGAGGGGAGGGTTGGGGATACAAAAAAAACTCTTCCCTATTTTAATTTAGGATTATGATACCAGATTATTATAATGGATATTACAAATTTCAGCTGTGCTGAAAAGGAATGTTCTAGGAAGCATGGCAAACACTTTGATAACTTTAGTGAAAGTCTGATGATGACTTCCTGTGCAAAAGCTTAACTCCCTCACTCAAAATCTGAGTGTTGATTCTCCCTTTCTAGCTGCTACACATTTCCTTGTGAGTCAGTTACAAGAATTTGGCACCAGATTAAGGATAAAACTTCTACCTGATAAGTTTGAGTATTCTCATAACCTGTTTAGTGATTAATGTATGGATAATATAAGGAGAAGTTGCATATTGATCGCTTCTATGAGTTAGAAGGTTAAAAATAATCATAGCTTCCACTGAGATTGTCCAAACATGAGCCACTGTCCCTAGTAGAAGTCCTTTCCTGAGCTGTTCTGACACAAGAGTCTGACTTCTCTTGTCTGCAGGATCTTCCTAAACCTCCAAGCCAATACAACACTTTTAAAGAAGTTAGAGAAAACAATCCTGAAGTGCTGTTCTACAAGGTGGCAAGGGTACCTGGCAGTGAGATATTTTACTTCAAGTCTTACCTAAAAGATAAACAACGAATCCTCGGTTTTGATCAATCAGGAGAACCTTTAAACACATCTCAAGTAGATTCAAATGGGGAGGAAAGTTGGTTTACATTGATATAAAATCTCTTGTAAGTGCAAAATTAAAGTTACAGTTTATAACTTATGTAAGAGATATTTTCCAAACAGTAAATTCCTTTGAGGAAATTATTTCACTTATGTTAAGCTGATTAAATGATATTCAGTGTCTGACAACAAAGTTTATGAAGTTTAGCACGCTAACATATGGTTTTAACCATTCGCTCCGACGAAGGGCTAACGCTCGAAACGTCAGCTTTTGTAATCGTTACGGTGGCCAATTTACCATTTCAACTTTGTTGATATATCCAAATTATTTCGTTACTCCCACCGTCGCAGCCCCAAACAGTTTCTTTCGAAACTATCAGCCTTTATGGTTTTTACTATCTGTTTTACGATAGAATAACAATCAAAATGTAATTTTATACATCTTGGAAAAATATTTTTTTAATAAAACACGAATTAAAACTAGGGAAAGTTTTGCTAAATATGTTTTAATGAATATCACTTTGATGCCAAAGTAACCTAAAAAAATTAGGTGAAGATGAATTTTCGAGAAAATTTGACGGATTTTGAGCGATTAGTGAATTACAGTTTTAATAAAATTCGGTTTAAAAAAGTATCAAAATATTTCACGGGAGATTTTTAATTTTTGTACTGATTCTCTGCAAAAGCTATAAAAGGTTACTGGACTATTTTAAAAATAGAAAAACTTCTTATCAGTTTCTGTAAGACCTGCACGCGCATGCAGCAAATAGTTGTGAACATGTTGGTAACAATCTTAAATAAAAAAGTTCTTTGAAAAATCAATTTGTGTTTTACTTTACATTGACCAAGTTATACATTGTGTGACAGACAGCAATGAGAATTACTTAATGAGATCTTTGGAGTGAATGGGTCTAACACATACTGTTTATTTCTAAAATTCATTAAAACGAACATTTGCTCACACATCAGCCAAAGTTCGGCAAAGTAGGAGATGATTATGCACGGCGGATTGTGCGACATTTGGGAAGATATGTCAGTTTTTTTCTGTATTTTTGTAAAGCATTTTCTCAGTTTGCATTTTATCCACTTCACAAAAAAAACTACTTTCAACCTTTTCGTGCTTTGATAAAACACAATTGCATCGCAACAATTTAATTTGAACTGGAAAAAGCCATCGACCGATATCAGTTTTACTCCAGATGCTTGATATGGGTTCAAAATACACGACACGAAGTTTGCACAACATACTGGCCACTGAACATTCATCTTTGGTTAAATACATAGTAAACGTACCTCGTGATCTCCCTACACCGTGACATTTCAGCAGGGACTAAAGAGTGCTTGCCAGACATGGCTTTTCTTCAGTTTAAAAATGGCGCTGCGACAGCGTTTTGACCACAGGCAGCCCAGGCTCTATCACATCTGTCACAGGCTCTTGTCACAGGCTCTTTCACAGTGGATTATTAAAGAGTTTGTATAGTGGTTTAGTTGGACTTGCTTTTGAGCTCCGTAAATATAAAGTTTTGTGAAATAATAAAAGGAATAAAGTCTTCATACAGAGTAGTCTGTGCTGTTCTTGTAGCGATTTGAGGCCGTTTTGCTGTGTTTTAGCTCAACGTCCTAGCACTGCCAAGTAAAATGGAAGGTAGGAAACCTCTGTCACACACGCTCGCCAAAATCGCTCGAAAAAGACAAATACTTCCCCTTGAATCGAAACTTGGCAGCACTTTTAGTGGGATTTGTTTTGATGAAATTGAAGGGCAACTATTTGGCTTTCGTGCTGCCAAGTTTCGATTCAAGGGGAAGTATTTAAGTGTTTTTCGAGCGATTTTGGCGAACGTGTGTGAGCATCTGATGTGTGAGACAGAGGTTTCCTACCTTCCCTTTTAGCCCTTTGACTCGGCAGTGCTAGGACGTTGAGCTGAAACACAGCAAAACGGCCCCAAATCACAACAAGAACAGCAGAGACCACTCTGTCAGAAGACTTCATTTCTTTTATTATTTCACACAACTTTATATTTATGGAGCTCAAAAGCAAGTCCAAATAAACCACTATACAAACTCTATAATAATCCACTGTGAAAGAACCTGTGACAGAGCCTGGGCCGCCTATGTTTTGACTGTTTAGGGAAAAATTTATGGGAAACCCTTGGCCTGGGTACCAGCTGTAAAGGTAGGCATGCAATGTGTGTCAAGAAACTTCTATTTTCGCACAGCTTCCTTTGCCAATTCAAAAACCAGATGTAAATTATTACCACTATCTAAATTCAAGCACCATCACAAAATTTGTTTCATTTTTGGCTATTTGAAATGCACTTGACAGCTTTAAATGCAGGATCAGCCACTTGACTTGAGTTAAGACTTTACCTTTAATTTAGTTTCTATCAGAAGCAGTAAGGTGTTAGGAAAATAAAATAAATCCAAAATTCCTAAATTTTAGCCTCCAACAAAATATATGAGGAAATGGGCAAGGAATTTTCCACCGCAGTTCAAATGATCGTAATACGTGATCGCGGCAAAGCGATTGCGTGACACTCGGTAAGTTGTAAGATGCATTTTCCCACGTATCAGACGAAAAAACACTTTAAATTCTCGGTCTGCATTTTGCACCCAGTATGCAGTGTGCATTTTGTAGCCTGCCTCGCAGGTATTACACAGAGAGTAATTTTCAAAAAGCTCCCCAATCCAGAGATGGTTTCCTCTGTGCAGTTGGACAGACGGAGCGGCTTTCTGCAGAGCTTACAACCACCATCATGCTTGCGAGTAAATTCAGTTCAACAACCCGTCTCACAGCTATCGGAAATTTGCTCGCGGACAAAAGGACGGATGGTCCCTCACTTCCAGCGCTTTCTTTCAATTTTCTTTTCCTTCTATCTAATAATCCAATCTCACTTGTTGGCGGAAAATTTGCCTGGCTTTCGTTTACGAATCGGAAGTTGATAACGAAAGTCACGAGCCCCCCCTCTAACCTCCCATCGATGACGTAATGTCCGTGTCGAACTGGATAAATTTGTGTGATTTATCGAAAGGTGTGGTTAGTCTTCGCAACAGCTTCCGCGTTCTTCGGCGTTCAACTTCCCAAATAATTGCCAAACATCCACAGATTTACAACAGAACTTGGTGTTTTCAAGCTAAGGAGACCAAAGAGAATATGGAAAATGTAAGTTCAAATATTTTATTTAATTTTCAAATATTCTACGAGACCTTCGCCTCACGGCCTTCCTTGAACTTAATTGAATGCCAAATGCGATCAGACTTGCGCAATACTTCGGCACGGTGCATAGAATATATTCAAATCGAGCAACTGAACCACTTAATTCCGGCGAAAATCTACTTTCCGGCTTGAATTAGTGGCTTCTAAAACCTTTTTTTCCTCATGTAGATTGGAAATTGAAAGGCTCGTTTAAGACGATTACGCTCTTGCACAAATGAAAATGGCATTTCAAATGCAAAAACAGTCTTCTATTCATCGTTTTCATTATTACGGATCAAGAGAAAGAAATT